AGAAGAGGCAGATAATTAAATTTTCATGCCTTTAAATATTGGAGAATTGCTCTCCTTTGTGTTTGAAGTGTAATAAGATTCCAACCAACTGGCTTCAGTTCAACCAACAAATATTTATTGAGAACTCACTGTCTGGGCAGCTCGGGATCATGAAGAGGAGGAAGACACAGTTCTCATCCTCCGAGTTCATTGTCTATTAGGGAAACGGATGAGTGGTAAATACGTAAGACAATCGGATAAACTCTAAAATCAGGTTACATATACATTGCCATGGTGTATATGCCCCATACAGACAAAAAAACCAAAACCACCAAAACCCCAATAAATCCCAATTTAGGAATCAAAGATAGAGTCGTGCATTAGCGGATGTGTCGTTGTCAGTTTGGGGGTGGGGCGTGAGTGAGTGAGGAGACAGCTTCGTCATGGGGAGAGGAGGGAACACCAGGAAGAATTCAGTGGGCAGTAAGGACCAAGACACAGGGGAAGGAGCAATCAAGGAGGGGTGTGAAGAAATAAAAATGCAGGGTATCCGAAATGCAAATTCATCCAGAGCATGGGAAACAGTGCCGACAGAAAGGAGATGTGACCAAGGCGGGGTGCAGTTTCTGAAGATTTGGAGTATTAGGGGAAGAATTTGGGCTAGTTCTGTAGGTGGTGGGGAAGGTAGAGGGATGGATCAAAAGTTAAGAGGACCTGCTGCTTTTTGTAGAGGACCTGAGTTTGGTTTCTAGCACCCACACTGGGCAGTTTGCAAGTCACCTGTGATGCCAGCTCCAAGGGATCTGATGCCCTTTACAGGCACACGCGGGCACGTGTGCATACACATACAAACACTCATAAATAAACGAAATAATCTCCTTGGAAACAGTAAGGAAGTGGATGGGAGTAGACGCTGGAAATGTCAGGAAGCAGAGCTTGGAAGCCAGGAGCTCTAGGGAGTGCCGTCAGAGGAAGCTATGTCTGAGGATTCTAGGTTGGCAGCAGCGAAGACATGAGGGACAATTCAGTGAGGGAGAGAGGAGAATGAAGATAGTGGATCTGGTTGGAACACGTTTCGTGTAAGACACAGAGAGCTCTAAGAGTGCAAGAAGTGTGTGTGTGTGTGGGGGGGGGGTTGTTCAGGAGAAAGTTGGGGATTTTAACACTACCCAGTGTGGCTTGCTATTTAGCAGGGCTCTGTCATATGTCGCCATGGTGGCCTCTCCGCTTCTCTAAGAGTGATTCATCCATGCCTTTTGTTTTTATTGCATCTAATCCCGGAGGGAGGTAATGGGCTCACGTGAATCACACACAGATCTAAGTTTCTGAAACCGGGCATAATAACTTGTAGATATTAGACTGTGACTCATTTCCTTCTGTTATCTCATTAGCTCCTTGCACAGACTTTGCCCGAGTTACGTCTGTCTTTGTTAGACTTCATATGACTTTTAAACTTGAACTGTGACCTCTACTGTTGTTATGTGTCGGGAGAAGCAGCACACACACACTTTCACACACTCATGCACGCGCACTCTCACACACACATGCAATCGTACACATACATTTGTGCATGCACTTGTACACACAGTGCACTCACGCGCACACCTACACATACACACGCACACACACACTTGCACACACGCATGCGCAGATTGCACACAAAGCTGAGAAACTGACTGCAGATGTTTTCTCTACCGCTTTATTATGCTCAGCTGTATCTGTGTTCCCTAGATTCTTCTTTCCACTTAAATGGATTTTGATGCATTCTAAAACCTCCAGTATCTAAGCAGGGGTTACTCACACCAAAAAAGGAATTTTATTAAAAATCAACTCTGTGGACTCGAGAGATGGCTAAGTGGTTGGACATTCTTCCTGCTCTTCCAGAAGATCGGAGTTTGCCTCCCAGCACCCGAGTCAGGCAGGTCACAACCGCCCATTACTTATATTGAAGTTCACACACCTAAAGAGTAAGATGGAGTGACAAACATTTAGTCTAATGTGAGAGCTCTGACAGTGACCACACGCACGGAAAGCCTAGTGTGTAAGATGTGATGTCACTTGCCTTCACCATGGCTGCAGCCTCCTGGAAGCTTGCATGCATGTCTAGGTCCACATGTGGAACTGCACCTGCTCATCAGGTCAGATGGGAATGCTGGAGGCAGGGGCATATCCTTGTCTTCTGCTCCATTCACAAATGAGATCAAACCCCCATTTCCACAGGGTCCTCTAGTTCCCACAGAACACAGTTCCTGCACGAGTGGAAGGCGTGAGAACGCCATCAGCCGCTCCTTGGGTGTCTGACAGTTACTGTGCCAAGTTCCACAGAAGGATGTTTAATTCACACCTAGGGATGCTGAGAGAGCGGTGTCATTCTCTCCCTTATGCAGAAGAAAAACATCCGCTGTCAGCTGAGGGCCTTTCTGTCCAGTGTGGTTTGTGAGGTGCGTTTTAATGTCCCCAAAACGCTTGCCACTGACTCATCTCTGACAAGCTCTTTGCACTTGAGATGGGCTTTGCCCATGGAGGTAGGAGGCCATCTCTTCCTAAAAAGGAAAATGGCTTTGCAATTTTGTTTTAAAATTAAATTTTCTAATACACTACCTTAGAAGTCATTCCTCCTTAGACTAAACAATACAGAAGAATATGAAATAGAAAGTTATAATTAGAGAAAAATCTTATCGTGCAAAAACTCCACCGTCAAAATACCTTTCTAGACTTTTTAGTACCTGGACACAAAACAACAATAAATGAATAAATAAATTAATCAGGGAACATAGTTATTTGTTTTGTTTGCTTTCTTGTTTGTTTGGTTTTGTGGGGTTTGCCATTGCCTGAGACAGGGTCTCTGTAGCTTGGAGTATTCTGGAACCCACTGTGTACACCAGGTTGGACTTAAGCTCATGGCTGGCTTCCTGCCTCAGCTTCCCAAGTGCTGAGATTACAGGCATGAACCAGTCCGGGCTCATAACTGGCTTTTGTAACATCCTATTTTATTCTGAATTCTAGATGAGATCTCCCTTTATCAATGAAGATAGAACTACCGACTCATTTTTATCAACTATATAGCTTTTTATAGGCCTTTGGTTGGATTTATTGTTTGAAATAGTTGCACGACTATTTATTTAAAAACTTTTCTGTTGCATCTGGAGTATAAATGGAGTAACTAAAAAAAATTTAAACTGTTTCAAATATAAAGACTGAACATAAGATATTGCCATTCTTTTGCTTGTAAAGATATTGTGTGGGTGTGTCTGTGGTGTGTGCATGTGGGCACAAGTGTGATGGTGTATTCATATGCACACAGTGTTGTGGCTTCACTTGCGTGGAGGTCAGGGGTCAACATCAGGATGTCTTCCTCAATCACCTTCCACCTTATTTTTGGGTTTACCATTTTGGATATACTGGCTAGGCAACGAGTCCCTGAGATCTGCCTATCTCTACCCCCACCCCCCAACACCGGGGCTACAGACACAGAACCGTGCCAGGCTTCTAGTTTGAGTGCTGAGGATCAAACTCAGGGCCTCATGCTTGCCCAGAGGACACTGCCCACTGAGCCGTCTTCCCAGTGCAAGCCCAGATGCTGCCATTTTTATACCGCTCTTTCTTCCTGGTTCTATTTTTCCTTCTTTATGACCCTTTGCCAGGTCTCTTCCTTCTCTCTTCAAATTTGGGAGTCTTTCATTTATTTTACATACTCACAGCTGCTTGTAATTTTAAGTCCAGCTCCAGGGGCTCTAACACTCCCTGGCCACTGTGAACACCACACTCACACATGCATATATACACATACACAGACACACACACACACACACACACACACATATGTAAGTAGACAAAGGCTTAAGGACCACTAACCCAAACCACTCTCCCCCTTACATTCCAGTATTTTAGTTGTATCTTGTCCTTTTTTAAATTTAGACTTACAGCTATGGTTTTACCCCACAATGCTTGTCTGTGTTCACCCAGGCATTGGCCCATTCATTTCTACATTTCAAAACTTGCATGGGAATCGCCTTCCTCCTCTCTGGAGTGTGTTCTTTAGAATCTGCTCAAATGGCAGCCTGCTGATGGTTCACTCCTCTGTGCTTCTCAGGAGATATGTTATTGTTGACCTTCTTGGTTCTGGGGGGAGGGATACTTTTAACAAAGTATAATCTGCCCTCCTTAAGTTCCCCAAGTTTAAATGGAGAAGAAAAGCAGAATAATTACAGAATTGTGTAACCATCCGTGCAGTCAAATTCTAGAGCATCTCCATCCTCTGGAAAGAGACCCTGTACCTATTTGTAGTAAATCTCCACTCCTGCCTCCAGTTCCCACACACCCTATAATCTGGTTCCTTGTCCCCTCGCCTTGACATTTCCTATACAATGTACCCAGAGTTTTATGTGGGTGCTGGGGATCTGAACTCCGGTCCTCACGCTTGCACCGTAAGCACTTTACCAACTGAGTCATCCCTTTGGGCCCGACTGAGTGAACCTTCAAGATGGGTGGCTGCATTTGAGTAGGAGGGACAGATGGACAGCAGTAGATCACCATGGCAACCAGGAAACACAAACCAAACAGAACAGACCAGAGAGATTTGAGTAGCACATAGTCCAATGGGGGGAGGGGTAGTTCTATTTGATGTAATGGATTGTTGTAGTCTGGTTGACGCTTGTGCCCAGTTCTTGAGCTGGGGAGGATAGACAGCAAGCATGCTTGTGTCTGGCCCAAGCTGCTGGTGTAAGCAAGTGACAGTCAAGGCCCCTTGGGTCACCAAAGACACTTAAGGAATCTCATATCTGGAGATGAACCACTATTGCTGTGATGTTCTTAACATCACATTAGAAACCAGAGAAATCTAAGTGTCCGGTTCCTCTAGGTTGATGGTGAAGTTTCTTGTCTTTCCTTCTTTCTCCTCTCTTTTCTTTTTCTTATAGCTGGCTTTGTCCTAAGAGATCCCATCTGCGGTGTTAGACTGGGTGATTATCTCCGAGGCTGCGCTTGCCTTTCTTATTCTGAGCAGCCACTCTTTCCTTCAGGTATCAGAGTAACACAGCTTCTGCCGTCCTGGAAACCATCACCAACATTCAACCCAAGGAGAGCGGTGGCGGCGTGGGCGAGACGCGAGAGGCCATTGTCTACAGGCTGTCAGAGGACATGCTGAGCAAGCTGCCACCTGACTATGTGCCTCACGAGGTAAGGCATGCCCTTCCTGCGGGGCAAGGTCCTGGGAGGTGGGGGAGGGCACTACTCCCACCCTGTACATCGCATCCCATTCATGTGGAGGTCAGAGGACACCTCTCAGGAGTTGGCTCTCTCCTCCCATCACAGAGTCCTAGGGATCAAACTCAGGTGGTTGGCTTTGGCGGCAAGCAAAACCCTTCTTTTATGTTATAGGAGCATGCTATTGGAAATATAGCAGTCAAGCAAAATCTGTAAATTGAGACCTAATTATGCCATTAGCGTCCACAGTACAAATGGAGTCCCATTACTGTAGACAGCAGCTCCCAGAAAGCACTGGGAGAGTCATGCAAGAGCCCACAACAAGTCTTTGATTTTATTAATAAACAGTTTATGCTGGAATCATAATCATGCAGGAAATACAGTCAGTGTTAAGATTATACTCTTTTCTAGGGTACTCCCCTTCTGTTACAATTATTATTTTTTTTAGTTATGAAGAAATTGTTTATGCTCTGTTGCCTGGGCCAGTCTAGAATTCTTGGGCTCTAGTGGTCCTCCTGCCTTTGCCTCCCGAGTAGCTGGGATGACAGGTGCAGTTATGCCCAAAAAGGTTCTCTACTATAAAGCCTGCGCTGGGGGCTGGAGAGGTGGCTCAGCAGTTAGCAGGACTTGCTGTCCTCTCAGAGGGCCTGGGTTCAGTTCTCAGCACCAACGTCAGGTGGCTCACAGCTTCAGGGGATCTCGTTCCCTCTTCTGGCCTCCACAGGCACTTGCATGTACATGGTACACATACATACATGTAGAGAACAGCATGTTTGTCATGCCCCTGTTGTGGTCTTTTTGTGATTTCTTGTTCCCCAAGGAGTGAATTGCTGCAGGGTAGTCATAAACAAAGGATGCTGTGTGTGCGTCCAGTCCCCTAGGCCGAGGAGTTCAGGATGGAGACAGAGCAGACCCTGTAGACATGTGGCTCAGCTGGTAGAGTGCTCGCCTAGCTGGGCAAGGCCCTGGGTTTGATTCCCAGCACTCCATGAACCGGGTGTGGTGGGGCACACCTGTAATCCTAGCACTCTGGAGGTAAGGTGGGGGCATCAGAAGTTCCACACCATCCTTAGCTCTATGGTAAGTTTGATGCCAGTCCGAGATCCAGTTTCTGAATAAATGAATTGAATTGAATCGAATATTTTTTAGATACTAAAATTTAGAATGAGGGAGAGACGGCTCATCAGTTATGAACACTCGCAACTCTTACTGAGGGCCTGGGCTCCACTCCATGGACCCATAAAGGGCAACTCAAAACCGTTTGTAACTTTAGCCCCAGGTTATCTTCTGACTGCGAAAGCACCCACCCACATAACACATACACACACACATGTGCACACACATGCCATACACATCCATACACGTGCACACACATGTATCCACCCACCCACACATGTGCACACACCCGCACACACATAACACACATGTGCACATACCCATGCCCACACACACGCATGCACACACACACACATATACACACACACACACACACACATACACCCTCCCACCCCCCCCCACACGCACATACACCCATCCCTCCCCACATACACACACATACATGCACCCACCCACCCACACACATGCACACGCATCCACCCACCCACCCATACACACAAACACACACAGACGCACACATACCCACCCACATGCACACACATACGCACACACACATAACACACACTTTTTTAAAAATTGTAAATGATGGCATTAGGGACACCTGATGTTATTGTGTGGGGCTGGGCCGTGGTCCTCCGCTGGCTGGCTGGACTGTGATTTGGGTGTGATTTGCTCTGCCCTGCTCATGTAGCTGTTTTCTGCTTTCATCCTTAACTCACTGGGAATGACACAGCTGCTGTACAGCGGAGATGCTGGCTGCTAGAACAACCTGCTTAACATCCCATGGCTCAGGAAGGGCTGTGGGCATCTCTGGCAAGAGGGTCCCTCAGCTGCCAGCCTCTGGGGGTTCTTTGGACTTATCCTTCAGTCAAATCTCCTTTCATCACCCTTCCATTCCCAGAACCTCTTGGACTGTGGCCATCAGAAAGGTCAAGTCCTCTCACGAGTTCCTGCTGGTATCCGTACTCACTCTCTTCTTGACATGTATGGCTGAACCGAAATGTGAATGTATATTGGCTTATTAATTAGTTGATTAATGATTATATTTTATTGTCCCCACAATGAGAGGCTTTGGTATTGATCTCTTTGACGTGGTCACTAGACGATATGCCAACAGGAACAAGTGACAGGCCGCTCAGTGGCTCTCCCACGAAGCCAAATATTTTCACTGATTAGATTAGGGGAGGCCATTTTTAGCCTCCATAGCCCAGGCGGCCACCATCTGCAGTTGATTGTCTTCGGCGACTGTTCTGTAAAGATTTGGGCCGTATTAACTTTTTGTGACATTTCTAATAACAACTCTGTAAGGGTAATGGAAGCAAAAAAGTCCTGCTGTACTCTTGTGAAGGTTAGATTGCCAGAGAATATTTAGCTGACACTTAATACTTAATCATTTGGAAGAGGAAATAGGCACAATTTTATTTTAGCTTTTTAAAGAACAGTTCCAATTATCAACTGAGTACAATCAGTAGGATATAAAAATCGTTTAAGTTGAACAGAAGTTTTTGAAGCTCAGAAAATGGGGGATTTAACAGCCAGCCTGGTTCTGCAAGAGGTGGTTTCTAGTTCATTGGGTCCAGTGGAGAAACATCCAGAGACAGAGAGAGAACGGGGAACGGGACAGGCCATTTGGAAGGGAAAACGATGAATGGTTCTTCTCAGAAAAATTTACTGTCTCCCCTACTCTGTTTTAGGTGAAAGCTCGCTTGATAAAGATGGGACACCTTAATTCAATGAACATATTCCTTAGACAAGAGATTGACAGAATGCAGAAGGTCATCTCCATCCTCCGGAGTAGCCTGAGGGACCTGAAGATGGCGATTGAAGGGACCATCATCATGAGTGAGGTGGGCATCTCCCTCTTTCCGCTACTTGCTTTTTTTTTTTTTTTGCATGTGTGTATCTATGTATGCACATGTTCATTTGTGTGTGTGTGTATGTGTGTGTGTGTGTGTGTGAGAGAGAGAGAGAGAGAGAGAGAGAGAGAGAGAGAGAGAGAGATGTTAAGGGCAGAGGGCAACCTTAAATGTTCCTCAGTCTCCATTCATTCATTCATTCAATCACTCATTCATTTGTTTATTTATTTATCGAGACAGGATTTCTCTGTGTAGCCCTGGCTGTCTTAGAACTAGCCCTGTAGACCAGGTTGGCTCTGAACTCACAGAGACAGACACCTTTATTTGTGAGGCAGAGTCTCTCAGGGGACCTGTGTCTCACCCAGTAGGTTAGGGTAGCTGGCCAGAGACCCCTAGCGTCCCTCTTGTCTCTGCCTCCCCAGTTCTGGGATTGTAATGTGCACCCCCACACCCAGCTATCTTTATGTGGCTTCTGAGACTCTCAGGACTTGGTGCTCACCAGGTAATCAGTGTACCAACTGAGCTGTCTTCCCAGCTCCCCAGCAATGTTTCCCATCCATGTATTTCTAGAAACATTATTTTTAAATATTTTTTCATTTTTATATGCATGAGTGTGTCTCCTGCGTGTATGTATATGCGCTATGTATGTGCAGTACCCACTAGGACTAGAAGAGAGCACCATATCCCTCGGAACTGGAGGTACAGACAGTTGTGAGCCACCATGTGGGTGCTGGGAACCGAATCCAGGTCCTCCACAACAGGAGTGAGTACTTTTAGCTGAGCCGTTTCTCCAGCCCACAAAACCACTCTTTTTTAAAAAAAGATCCATTTTAATCATTAAATCCATTAAAATGTCCATTTTAATCATGTGTATGTCTGTGTGTTTGTGTGTAGTATGTACTCACAAGTGCAGGTACCTGTGAAGTCCAGAAAAGGGCACATGATTCCCTTGAATCTGGAATTACAGGTAGTCAGTCATGAGCCACTTGGCATGGATGTTGGGAACCAAACTTAGGTTCTCTGTAGGAGCAATATGTGATCTTAGTCACTGAGCCATCCTCCAGCTCCCTGGGTCACACGTCTTAACCCGTCTTACCCTCGTCTTCTTCAGAACTTGAGAGATGCCCTGGACAACATGTATGATGCTCGCATCCCTCAGCTCTGGAAGAGAGTGTCCTGGGATTCATCCACCCTAGGCTTCTGGTTTACTGAGCTTCTGGAGAGGAACGCTCAGTTTTCAACGTGGATATTTGAAGGCAGGCCTAACGTGTTCTGGATGACTGGTTTCTTTAACCCCCAAGGTAGGTGCTCCTGGGGAGTGGGCTGACTTAGAAGTTCATGTGCAGCTGGTTGGTGGCATTGCTTGCCGAACATATGTTCCATAAAGCCGTGTGGTCCTGCCCCTGGTGCATGCTGGAGACGGCCTTTCGGAGGTTGATGGGAAGGTCACAACAAGGCTAAGGAGATGGGCCCTCTAGGGATGTGCTTGCTGTATTAGACATGAAGACCTGAGTTTGAGTCTCAGCACCTACATCAGCAAATCCAGGCCCGCTGGTGTTGGGAGGCTTCAGGCTGGAGGATTCTGGGGGCCTGCTGGCCAGCCAGGCTAGTTGAATGGATAAGCTCCGGGTTCAGTGAGAGACTTCATCTGAGAAAATCAAGTGGAGCCATGACCCCACTGTGATGAGCACTTGCAAAGGATAAAGGTTTGGTTCTCAGGACCCACACCGTGGTTCCCCATCACCTGTAACTCCAGGTCCAGGGGATCCAGCCACCCTCTCCTGACCTCTGTATTCCACAGACACACATGTGGTATACATATGCTCGGCCAAACACGCATCTACATAACACATAAACAAGGGCATCTTCAAAAAATTAAAAATAAGGTGGAGATAGAGGAAGATGGTGACCTTGACCTCTGACCTCCATTCATCTGTGCACGCACTGTAATGTGTGCCCATATACGCAAGTAATAAGTAATAAATAAAATAAAGCCAAAGTATGAAGACACCAGAGATGTGCCAAAAATTGCTGATTTGGGTTAGAAAACTAGACCTGAAAAATCGAGTGAGCGCTGGGTGGAGGCGGGGGTGTCTTCCTCCCCTCTCCCTGAAGGTGCTCTGCTGTTCCGCATCATCCATCCTTCCATCTTAGAAACGTTCTCCAGAAAAGTTGCTGGCTTGATGCCATTGAGCTTTTAAGGTCTCGAGAGCTTGGCACCCCAATAGTTTCATCTGTCAGTGAGTTAAGAAGCATTCATTCTTACTGATTTGGGGGGGGGGGAGCCACCGTTACTCACAGCACTATGGGTAAAATCTCATCAAAGATAATGTTGAGTGAAGGCGGCCCCATGAAAATTGCGGCACCCTACAGGGACCCTTCTGCACGAAGGCCAGGGATGGGCAGAGTGGATGCAGGATGCCGAAAGACTGACTCACGGTCTCCCTTTCCAGAAAGGCACAGTGGAACTTCTTGGTGTCTGGGGTATACTGTTTCTTCACTGCGTGTGGGCGATGCAGCTCTTTCCCATGGCGACAGTCTGCTGAGCCATACAGTCTTGACACTCAGTTACTCCTTAGAAGTACAGTCTAAACAGTCATCATGCCTCTAAAGTGTGTATTCACTTGCCCTCTGTGAATACATGGTCATTTGCTGGATGCAGATTCTCTTTTAGATTAATTAATTGCTTATTATGTGTGTGATGGGGAAATATGTGCCACTGTGGGTGGGGGCAGTCAGAGGACATCTTTCTCTCCAGTCTCGGGTCATGGGGCTTGCTTAGCAAGTACTTTACCCACTGAGCAATCTTGCCAGATCTGCCTTAACATTTTCCAAATTTATATCCGAACCATGGCAATTTCTGTCTTCACAATGGTTTACACACAGTAATAGATTCAACTAATGCCCTCCATAGGTACTCATGTGCACTCATGTGCACAGATACAAATACACATAATTAAAACTAAGAAAATAAATAAAGATTAATCTTATTTTACATATGTATGTGTGGGTGTGCCCAAGTGCATGTATATGCACCATCTGTGTGCAGATGCCCACCAAGAGCAGAAGAGAGCCTTGGATCACCAAAGCTGCAGTTGTGGACAGTTGGCAGCCACTCAGTGTAGTGCTGGGCACCAAACCTGGATCTTCTACAAGAGCAGCCAGTGCTTTTAACCACTGAGCAATCTCAGTAGTCCCTAAATTCTTTTTTGAAAAATTTGAATGTAGATGGGCATTTCAGTGCCACCCACCGATAAGACATTCTCTACTTCTGCATCCATGAGAGACTTTTGATGTTTTCTCTCCTGGCTGCCTCTTGGAGAGTTCACATTGAATTCACCTGGCACCCTACCCTTTAAAGACACACACCCTTATCCTTATCTATGATTGCTTTCTGCTTGTTGCTTAGAAGCCTGGGGGGTCACCTCTTCCTGCACAGAAATCACATCCTTGTTTCCCTTTCCTCCTCTTGACACAAGGGACAAATTACTTTCCAGTTCCACATCAGTTGGCCACATCTGAAAAACAGAGAGCTTGGCAGCCCCTCCCCTCCTGATGTGTGTCCACAGGCAGTGTCCAAACAGATAAGGATTCTCTGACATTAACAACAGATCCTCCAGCACGAACTCCTCTCCAGAGTCTTGTGTCTTCTTCCCAGGTCACTGCGATAAAGATCATCTTTTTCTTTCAGTTCAAAACATTTAAGTAAATGGCTTTAAAAATAACACCCCGCACATTGAGGCAAAGCATAGTGCTGTCTACAAAGAGGCTAAAGTTTCTCACAACCCCAGGGAGTCTGGGGTGGCGAGAGAGCTCAGAAGGTAAAGGTGCTTGCCGCCAAGGCTGGCGACCTGAATTAAAAGCCCAGGACCCACACACTATGGACAGAGAACGAACTGCATGCAGTAAGTTGTCCTTGGACCTCCACACGTAATGAATTAAAATGAAATTTCTTCACATGTGAACATTTTTGTCACCTTATTATACCCCTGGCATCGTAGACTGTGTGTGGTGTATTTCCCATCAGGACGGTTCTCCTCAGACTTAGGTGACTTTGAAGTCCTTGCTACACAGGTGACATCTTCCATTTGCTGCCCCCACATTGTGTCCCCACCCCCATTAACATCCCAGCCAGGCGCTGTTTGCAGCCACACTCACTTGTCTTGTGGCTGGCTCCCTTGTCTCCTAGCTGGCTCCGTGTTTGTTTTGCTTTGTTTTGTTTGTGGTCTGGCCTGTTTGAAGCGGCTGAGTCACTCCCCGCACAGCCTCACCTGGTATTCTCAGGCCCCCTTCACTGTGACTTCTGTGGCCGCTGATGAGCTCAGCCATGTGGACAGTTAGACTGGATGATTAAGATGGTCAAGCTCGCTGCATTGGTGACCCTGTGGCTGTGTGTTTCAGTGGCAGGGCTTCTTCAGTGGGCGGGTGTGCTCTCTGCCAGACTCTGCAGACCCAGAGAGCCTTTCTCTTTCACTGGTTTTCCCTGGCTGGTTTGAGCACGTGGAATTCTCAAACTCCTTAAGGCTGTGATCCTCAGAGCCCTCAAAGGAATTCTTTTTGGCCTTTTCCCGCCCCCCCCCCTTACCACTCTCAGGGCATCATGTACCCGTGATTTAAAGTCTGAGTCAGGTGTGCGCACACGCACGCGCATGTCCTCTATATATGGGGATGTGTCTAAACCAGACAGACTTCAAGCTAAGATATTGACTCCTTTGTGATACCATTACATTAATAGCCATATTTTGTCATTTGCTGCTTGGGATGACTCCTAGGTGTGCTAATGACAGAATGGAGCAGGCTGGCCATGCTCCCTGGGCCTCGCACCTCTGGATTAGATTGAACCCTGCAACAACAATCATTTTCTAAATGCTTAATTCAGTCTGGAGCTTGGTGCCATTTAGTCGTCTTCTTTTTTTTTCTTGTGTCTCCTGAAGCCATACTGTTATGGCAGATATCAATACCAGCTTATTCATTGGCATGAATCAAGATTTTTCACTTAGAGGGGCTGTTGCCGAAGCAAAGAAATGGATCATTTTTGTCCTGTTATCTTAGCTCTCTCTTTCTCTGTCTCTGTCTCTCTCTCCCTCTTTCTCTCTCTCTCACTGTGTGGGGGTGGGGGTGGGGATGGGGGACGTGCGCGCGCCTGTGCACATGTTTTGCAGAGCAATGCAATTCCGAATGCTTCCTTTGAGACCAGCTCCATGGGCTGCTGTTTGTCAAGGTGGAAAGCAGGCCAAGGGTTAATAGACGTTCAGGATTGGAAAGGAACCAGGGAAAACTTCTCGTCTCGTGTCAGTTCGTCTGGCTCCTCATGCCCCTGTGCCCAAACCTCAGAACTGCAGAGGGACCCACTGCACTCTGAAAGCCTCTGCGTGGGTGACAGGTGGCTCTGCCTGCCTTTGAACAAGAGGAGCCTTTAGTCGCTGGCCTTGGTCATAGTCACAGCCACGACTCCTAGAATTCTAGTCTTGCACATGGCTACCAACTGTCTGGTCCCTTGTAATTTGGCCAGCTATCAGGAACCACTAAAACCACTCTCAAAGGCCGTCTCCACCTAATGGCATTTCTGCTAACTTCATTCTATTGACTGTAGCTAGGGTGTCAAGTCTGGATTCTCTGTCTGTCTGTCTGTCTGTCTGTCTGTCTGTCTCTCGTGTGTGTGCCACATGTATGTTGATGTCCACACAGCCAAGAAGGGGGCATCTGATACCCCTCCTCACAGTGGAGTTACAGATTGTTATGAGCCACCCACTGTAGGTTCTGGGAACCGAACTCCGGTCCTATGGAAGAGTAGTAAGTGCTGTTAACGGCTGAACCACCTCTCCAATTCCTGGAACCTCTTTTAGACCTTGGGTTCCACCCATGCACTTCCTTGTTCTCTTCCTGCCCCTCAGCCCTCTCTGACTCTCTTGGGACTCGGTCTCCTCCGCTCACAGGCGTGGCTGTTCATCTCTCCCTGTCAGAGACTCAGTGCCTACGCCAGTGTTGGAAGTTCTGTTCTCCAGTGACCTCTTTCCCCTAAGCCACCCTCATGAGGATTCTGCTGTCTCCGTCTGCATCATCCCCCAGAACACACAAACTTGGACCCTCCACCAAATAGCTTGAGAAGGGGGGAGCAGGAACACATGGGCCCCAAACAAGAGAGAAAAGGGGTTCTCATCAATAAGAACAGAGAGTGCCAGAGGTCACGTCTGATGGGCCCCCAAATGGCTGGATGGATTTCTCAGCCAGATCACAGTTGAAATAGAAGTCCCGGGGGTGCAGGTGGGAGCTTGAGAGGTTGAGGGGTCAGATTCTAAGA